AATTGTTGAAAATGTCCACCTTGCGCCATGATACATCCATCGAGCCTTCTTCTCAAAGATTGACGTACACGCTCAAAGATACCAGGTGTGTTACGTATTGCCTCGCATGAAGCAACTATTTGATTCCTCAAATCATTTTCATTCTCAATAGGGGTGGGCATATCTGCTATTTCAAAATTTGTAAACTTAGGCATGATGAAACCGATTTTGATGGATTGAAACAATTTGGCCCGAAAACGTATGTACAAGCTAACTGACCCGCAGCAACATCAGGACTGAAGTCTATTTTTGATTTTGTGACTTTGACTTCGACTTCGTCACTTTGTTTACGGTTGTGCGAATAGTAACTCACATGAAGCAAGGCATATTTATGCAGGAAGATATCTCCAACGCAATTTATCGTTTCGTCAAACATTTGCGAACATTCACCTGTATTTCGGAAACTAAGTCGTTTAGGACACATGTTTATATGGACTTTTTTACTTGAAATAAACCAAAGAATCGCTCTGTTAAGTTTGGGAACATACTTAACTAACACCCTGTATATATACACATATATAATATACATATATATATAAACAAAAAATTATTGAATTATAACATAAAATAATGCTATAAAGTTTAATGCAATATTCATACTGTCCATATTATCCTATATAGTTGCCATTTTTGTTTATCTTGATAGCAAAACATAAATATCTTATTACTGTACGTTCACATTACTAAAGGCCATGGCATACAAAAAAACGTAAGCAGTAAGCGAATTGGCCACAGTAAAGACTATAAGGTCATAGCGTAAGGCTATTCAACAATGTTGATTTCCTTACTGCTTATATTTTACTGTTTGAATTTTTTGTGCTATGGCCCTAAGAGAACCAGTACACTTTTCATAGCAGTAATCGTAAGCCATACCGTTAAAAATTAGCTCAATTAGCTATTAACCAATTAATTATGGAAAGTATACGTGTACGGGTCCTCTAAGGACTGCCACACACATTTTTCGTAACTGTAAGTACTGTAAAGGATCATTTATACTAGCCGTAATCTGTAAGAATTGACTATAATCACAGTCGAATAAGTGGGAAATAATCGACTATTGGTCAATTCGTATAAATTACAGATAAGTAGTATAAATGATCCTTAAGAATAAATTAATCACAGTAAAAAATTGTTAAAAATCTTCAGTTCTAATTAACTAATTCTTGGGGATCATTTATACTGACTATAATCTGCTAACTTATATGCTATAATTTGTAAGAACTGACCAATTACAGTGAAAGGGAAATAATCTATGATTGGTCAATTCTTACAGATTACGGCCAGTTAAATGATGATCCTTTATGGTACGTTTTACGGTTAATTATTTGCGCAACCTTGATAGAATGTACTTCAATACAAAAAATATAAAAGATGTGAAGCTCTATAGTTTTCGTTTAACATAAAGTTCTGAGGTGTACAAAATATTTATATATCATATTTTAGAGAAACTTCAGAAAACAAAAAAAAATCATGATATCAAAGACAATAAATCTAATGCATCTGTTAAGAAAAAATAAATAGTGGAGACATCGATCGAGAATTAAATAACAAGATTGTATTTAGTGGCGTAGCCGGGGGGGGGG